TCAGAAAGGAGGTGTGTGTTGGACAAGTACTGCAGGAGAGCTGTAAGGGAAGGATGAGGGTGGAAAAATGGAAATGGGACAGATGGATAGGATTATCAAGGACAGTCCACTACATTACCAAAAATGACTCCAACTGCTGGAAGTCAAGAAAGGGTTGATCAGCTTGCTAACAAGTAAAAGCATAATGATCAGAAGTCCATGTAGGACAAGGTGTACTAACACTAGTTCTTAAATGAGAAAGGAAATGCTCAGAATGAACCCTGATGTCTGGGAAAGGAGGGAAAACAAGGTACCCTAATGATGGGTGTTATGTAAAAAGTAAAGCATCATATGAAAACAAGAAAATGGAACACATCTCTGAAAGCATATAAAAAAAATCAGAGTTAGGCCTAGTAGATCTCACAGGAAATGCATGAGAAGGCACAGCATGCTTAGAAGGAAATTAAAATGTCAAAATTCTCCTCGTAATGAACAGGTTTGGACAATGCAGGATAATTGCAAAGAAAAGGGGGAAACGAACACGTGAAATGAGCACAACTTAAAACATCTGCACTAGATAACTGCCTAACAAGAAATGATAGTTTAGTAGAACCAAACAGAGGGAGTCACATGCAAGATGCAGTTGAAACACACTGATCATGGGTACATGGGAGTTTAAGGCTGGTGGAATGCAAAGAAAAGTTTTTTATAAAAAGGGCAGCACTGAATGAAAATAGCTACACGTGTGAAAGGGGACAATGTGCCATAATGGAAATACCATAGCAAACGTAATTTCATGCTGACATGATTCAACGATTCCCATGCAAATTGAGGAAACTAAAAAAAAAAAAAAGACAAACTTCATCGAAGGTTGACAGTATGTGTTTTCTTATAGCAAAGCCACATCAGGTCTTCTACTGAGTCCACTGAGGGTGTATCTAACCCCTGATTTCAGCTTTGCATGTCCAAAGATTTACTGTTGTCCCACTGGGGGACAAGATTGCTCTAATTGATAAATAGAATGCATTAAACTAGAATAGAGCCAATCAGTATTGATCTTACATGAACATTCACTTTTTTGTTGAAAGAGCAGGTGTAAGATACAACATATTTGACAATGATAAACCCACTTTTTTAGAAAATAAAAGTTTGGAGAGAGCTTGAATGAATAATGAAGAAAACTATTATGTCATTCTCAGGTACAAGTAGTTTACAGTGATATATGAGTATACAAGTTATGGAACAAAGAGGTCACATGACCGGATATTGCTTCACAGCTTAGTAATGTTGTTGTAAAGTTTCATTGAGCTACACTGCAATGGAGGATCTTATAATCAAAGCCAACCATCACGTATGGTTAGAGGCAGAAAATGAAGAAATAATTGAAGCTGAACTGAACAATTTTGTGGCATCCCAGTAACACCAGCTGCAGGACTCCAGCCAGAGCTGTGGTACTGTTCCAGAGAAAATGAGGCACAGCCATGCTGGAGACACATCAGCTAGTGCTATCCAGCAAGAAACTGAGTCCAGTAGCTCTGAAACTAACACAGGTGGCTCAGAACCAGAGTTGGATTTTGAAGATGACTCATGCATGCTTAATGCCAGTGCGGATGAGGCCGTCACTGATAATTTAGATTATTCAGGTGACTTGTCATTTTAAATTATCTCAGCTTAATGTTTATGTATGCATATCATTATGACAAAATATGACTCCAAGTCTGTTAGAGGTCTTTTAAATTATTTTTTAAATTAGATTTGCAGCACAAAATAAACAGTTTCTGAACATTCAAAATACAAACTCGTGTTAGAATTTCAATTTCTTTACTCCTCGAGTCTTTTGTTTTGAGGCGAGATGAATTTACAGCTTTCCTTGTATGTATTAAAATAAAGGAGTGTATGAGCATGACTTATGCTCAAAGCTTTACTAGTCTTTCTTAATTTTGTTTTAAATGAAAATACAAATTTAAATAAACACAAAACAACATCTTGTGAGCTAAAACTACCACTGTTGTATTCAAATGTACTGATACTACCAGAAAGCTAAGTGTATGGAATGCAGTAGGCACTAGAAATGTTACACAGACAATAATTTTGAACATGATCAGCAAAGTAAACAACAAGCAAACAAGTTTTTTAAAAATACTTTTTTCACACAATTAACACTACTGGAGGGCTTTACTAACACTGGCTAGCTTCTATGTTTGGTATTGCCTATAATTGGGGAAGGTCAGAAGCACATCTATACAAGATGAAGACAAGAATCAGAATTATAATTTTTGCAGTTAAATATGACAAATGACCTAGTGTGGTATCATAAGATCTTAAATTACCTATGTCATTGATCATTACCTTCACATATCTTTAAGGGATATAAACTCCTCTATCCTATTAATTTGTATCAATCTGCATAACACCTTGAAGAATGTGCCCTCATTCTAGGATGTCATAGAACAGGACCAAACAAGGAGTAATCAACACAATATTTCATCTATGTCCAAGTTTATAACATTTCAACTCCCAGTTTACAAAATCTAGCAAAGGTCCCAAAGCCACAAGTGGTGTTTTTGGTGGCTTCTAAAATGAATATCAATGTCATAAGAGAGAAGAAATTAATAGAGGGGTTTTTAGATTAGAAGTTAGGAAGATAAAAAACAAATTCTTATCAAACACACATACATACACAAGCCACTACCTAAATGTATGTGACCGCCTACAAAAAACAATTTAGAAAAATGCAACGAAATATACCTATATAAAAGTCTTTCAACTGCAACACAACCCATAGTTATTCCTTCTATTTATTGAAAAACATCCTGGCCAAATTGTACAAGTGTTGCAAAGAAAACATAACAGCTTGTAGGAAATTAAATGTGAAGCAGTTATACATTTTATGATGATTATCAAGATTCACTAACACAGAATACTCATTTATTTACAAAAAATTACATGGAGTGCAAAAGGAACAGAAAAATCCCCTCTTCACCCACCCATGAAAACTAAAAAGTTCCTATTGAGGCCATTTAGAAAATAAATATATACACTTAGGATAAATAACATTAGAGTCATGAGAATCTGGAACACAATGTACTGCCATGTTGCTGAAGATGTTTCTGGGATCCTTCAAGGAACAATTTAATCTGATTCTTGGATCAATAACCAAATAATCAAGATGGGCTGAAAGACCACCTCTCATTTGTAATACTTCTCATGTCTTAAACTAGTGAATAATGGAAATTATCCTCTGCTTTTTCAACTTTCGTCTACTGGCTGGTAACTCCCCCAGTAGTTGGTAAAACTAACTGCTTGCTCATCACTTCTTTTCCCAGACTTCTCAATTGTACTTCTTGCAGTGGTATCTAGAAAACTGACAGAGGACTCTTTTGTAGATACTTTTCTTTTGCATGTTTGTCACTATTTTTCTGGCCTTGTTTGCTGAAGGGTGTTTTGCTGGAAGGATTTAGTTACTTAGCTGTGTTGAGAATAATTTACATGCCATTTGTCTTTCATACAATTACAAAAGATCCTTCTGCAATTGCTTCCATAATTCAGACAGCATTTACCATCAATACAAAAAAACACTGTCCAAACACTTGCATGGCCTGGTAGTTAGGTTGCTCAACTCGGAACTTGCTAACTAAATGTGCTTGTCCTTTCAGCCATGAAGATGTTAAAGTATAACAAACAATCTCACCATTCAATTAGTTACCCAAGAATAGGTAGTAGGTGGTTTTGACCAGCTGCCTTCCCTTTAGTCTATCATTTCTAAATTATTGAATACTAGGTACAGATAACACTCAAGTAGCTTTGCATAAAATTCAAACAAACCATACAGCTTATTTAAAGAATCTCCATAAACCACTGACATTTAGTTTTTCAGTTGAATCAATGAGGGTTATAATCTCTGCATTTTTAAAAAAATAACAATGTGGGTCTAAAAGAGAGCAATAAATGAGAATTAACAGAAACTGTTTGCCACCTAGTGGCATATTATAAAACTATAAAAAGTTTTACACTCTTTATATGTAGTAATAAAGAAACATCCTTCTTAATTTTTTACAGTTCAAATATTTCTAAGATGGAAAATTTCTATAGACTGAAAACTACCACACTTGTATTCAATGATTTTAAACAGTTTTATATTTTACTCGCACAATGACTAAATAAATAAAAATGTTTGTAAAGAACTAACAATAAATTTGAAAATATACAAGAAAGAAGTATTAGCAGTATTCCCTATATGCACCAAGAATACACTTGGATTCCAGAGGCAGCAATGACAATACCTGTTACCTTTATTAGCTTAGATACCTGGTCAGACTGTAAAAGAAACAAACAAAAAAAGAGGTAAAGTATATTTTTATTTACTCTGAATTGACTTCACTTAGTACTTTGGTAAATACTGCCAAAATAGTCAACGGTAGGTAAAATGACTTCAACTTATTAGAATAAACTAATATAACAACTATGGAATAGATGTCATGTTAAATACAAATACATAATAAAAAAATATATAAATCCTAACCCTCAGTGCTCCTCGTAGACATTAAAAATGCAACTTAGAAAACACAAAAACATTTTTTTAGAACACACTATTCCAAAACTATAAATAATTCCCCATGATTCTACTTCAACTAAAATCAAGTACAAAACAATTTTCATCCCATTTAATGTAATTACTCTGAATTGACTTCACTTAGTACTTTGGTAAATACTGCCAAAATAGTCAACGGTAGGTAAAATGACTTCAACTTATTAGAATAAACTAATATAACAACTATGGAATAGATGTCATGTTAAATACAAATACATAATAAAAAAAAATATATAAATATACAAATAAATTAAGGTAAATAAAAATTATGCAATACATCACACATTGTGAACAATCACTACATTTATGCCTTGTGGATAACAATAAAAAATTGTTCACTACAAAAATGTTGATTTCATTACTAAGTAAAGCATAAGTAATTTAAAAGGGAAAATAAAATTAGTAAATTTATTTAAATAAAAAAACATGCCTATTGCAACGTCTTGGCAAAGTAACTCCTTCAAATCCTAGCTTTACAGGTATGTTGGGCACAACTTCTTGACAGCTTCTACATTGAACTGTAATATTTGTTGCTTTTGTTTGGATTCCAGAGGCAGCAATGACAATACCTGTTACCTTTATTAGCTTAGATACCTGGTCAGACTGTAAAAGAAACAAACAAAAAAGAAAGAGGTAAAGTATATTTTTATTTACTTTTTTATTTATAACTGCTTTAAAGCTTACTACATTCAACTTTATACTTCATTAAAATCAAGGCAAGCTTCCTCATCACACATACAGTTTTTGTAAACACAAATAACAGTACCTAACCAACACTATTTTTATCCTTATTTGAAAGTTCTGTTTTAGAGTAGAAAAACATACATACAGCTTCCCTAATAGAGATGAAAATTGAAAGTACTTCCATAATTATAGCCTTCTAATTCTTGAAAATCCCAAAGAGATTAAATGAAGAGTGTTGTGTTTAAAAAACGTAACTGGCCTAATACGAATGTGTTATGACCAGTATAACTGTAATCACTCTTCGCCAGCTTGTTAAGTGCATATACACTATAAATAATTCTCAATCTTCACTTCCCTGTGTTATATGACACATCTGTGCTCTAAATTCCTGATCTTATTTTTCCTACCCTTTTATGGCATTCAGTGTGTCCAATTAATTACAAGTCACATAATAAATATTTACAAGCGAGAATATAAAATGTGAATATCCTTTTAAATATTACTATATTTTTGACACCCACATAACATGCCCTACCATTTCTTTCTGTCTTTCAATATATCTATAATCATCTCTGACATTGCTTTGGGACAAGTTCATAACCAACAGAAAGAATGGTTTCTGAACCATGCCAACCTGACAACTGTATAGTTTGTTTTGGTGCTTAAAGCCAGTAGCTCCCAAGGAAATCTTGATATAAATTGACAAAAGTCACTGCTCAAAACAATAATGGATCTTTTAAAGCTATTTATAGCTTAGTTAGAAAGACATTTAAATTAAGGACATTCTATTCTAATTCCTGATACACTACATGTTTATAAAATGCATATTTGAAGCAACATCATTTTGTGGATAACCAACACAGTGTGAGAAAAGTAGTCTTTTAAAGGTAAGTTTTAAATACAAATATACCTACTTACTTAAAAAAAAAACTTACTTTTGTATATTCATTGTTATTATATTCTTTAAAAATTTACTAACACGTAAAAATTACAAATTGATTAGATAGCAAAATGTAAATGGAAAAGTTAAAATAATAAAAAATCATGAAACCAGCTGTGCCACATATTAACCTGCTTGGTTGTTTGCACTAGTTTTCTTGTTTTGGTTAATTGACTGTAAATTTTGATCACTTGATTATTTTTGTGACAACTGATAATTAGAACTAACTGAATGTTATACTAACCAAAAGCAGTAATAATCAAACTAATTTTAATTAAATGATTAATTTACATGATACTAACTGATGTAATCTGTAATTGATTAACATTCTCTATCACTTATTATTCACATCTCAGAAAAATTAAGTAAATCAAACACTTAACTTCCAGTCCTATTTTATGACATAACTAGAAATTCTAAATTTTTCAGTTCTAAAAGTTTTCAAAATTATATTGTATTTAAGTACTTTAGAGGATTTCCAGAACCACAATTAATCCTTTCTGCCAGTCATTAAGCAGAATGCTATAATAAACATCTACTGGTGTACTTTAAAGTTAACTATGCATATCTACTTATAAATATAGTTTATATGGTTGTAATTTTATGAATGTCTGTAACTTCAAGTTGAACCTTTTTTATATTTGGTAAAAACAGCACAGTATAGAATGCTCAGTTGTCATTATCACAAACAACAGAATGTTTCATAATAAGAATGGATGCATTTTTTTCCAATCAATATGAACAGGTTCAATTAACCTGAAATGCAACTTGATAAGAGTCAAAACCTTAGTTCACCTTGTAGAAGTTCTAAATGCAACTTTTTAAGTATTTAGGCAACACATAAAAGGTTGATAATAATAAAACAATAATTAAACTAAATAACAAGTCTTATTATGTTCTACATCATGGTTATACTGCATGACTATTTGCTAGAAGCTTCTCTTGAGCATATATTCCCTTATTCGATTATAAACTAACACACATTTTAAGTTTCTCACAATAAAATAACACTAAACGTTGATGAATTTACTTGGTCATCATCTTATTGTATCTTGTCTGAGGTGAGCCTCCAACATGAAAAAGAATAAGAAAAACAACAACTTGTATTTCAAAATTTAAATAAAAGATGTGCTTATAACCTCTTAGTAGCACTTCAACTCATGATACTTATAACTTAACAGGCTATTTTTTACCTTAAGATCCCTCATACTTGAAGGGTTGGCATCAGATTTAAGCATTATTTGTACATCTTCTATTTTTTCTTCTCCTTCGGGTCTTGGACGTGTTAGTTCATCAACGATCTCCTTCACAGCTTCTTCAAACTTATAAGTAAAAACAAAAAAAGTTGAATTTTTAAGTACATTCCTAACTTAAATTATATTTAAAATATTTAATTATCTGCCCAATAGTAAATCTATTTAAATATTGCAAAACAAACATTTAAGTTAGGTGGAGTGAATACATTTTATAAAATTAATCATTACTCTAGATGTATTACAGAGAGAGAGAGAGAGAGAAGTTTTTAAACAGGTCAAAACAAACAGCTCTGAAAGTATTGTAAAAAACATGAACAAGATAGAAAATAAATTAAACAGCTAGAACTAATTACAAATGCAATTTCAAATTAAATATTGTGAACAAACAAACTTCTAAGCAACCTTCCTTGTTTATAAAATTGTGTATTAATTTCTAATTTGTTTTAATGTTTTAAATTGTCTAGGACAACTCTTTGGAAGATGCAATCATCAGATCTAAAATGAAGTAAACAAACATCTTTGAATATAAAAAATTTGATGTGAATAGTTTTTGTTCTTTTAGCTGCGCTATAACGACTCATAGAATGGCTCAGTTTTCTTTTTTGTTTGTTTTCAAATACAAACTTTTAGATAATAGCTCCATCATCTCTTGACCTATTTGAGGTCTAATTAAAGTTTGAGATGCAGGAGGTCAAACCCTTTTGATTGATGTATTTAACCATGCTCAAGTTCTCAGATTAATTTACACTAATTCTGCCTAAAAGAATTTCAAAGAAATCCTGATGAGTACTAAAATTGAATCTACTATACACGTGTCCCCAAGCTTGGTATTAGTAGCACACAAAAATATAGCTAATAAAAATGAAAAAAAAAGTCTCTAAAATAAATTTACTCTAATCCTGCCTAAAAGACTTTCAAGTGTCGTGGCTATTGATGTCAATGTCAAAACATAGTTTTGGTACATTCAGTATCATTGCAATGGTTCACATGTGATTTGCTTAACTGCATATTTAAAATTGTTTTAGTATTATGTATTCAACCTTTTATTTGACTATTTCATGCACAATGGTTACAGTCTTTCACATTTTAAAAATGCAGGAGGGAAGTAAACAGCAGATGCTAAACAGTCCATGGAGCTGCTAGTGAGCTAATGCAATATTTTGATCCTCTGTTTAGAAATTTAGACAATAAAAGTTAATTTGTAATGAATGCATTGTACTGTTCTAACAAAACACAGTTTCACCAATTATGCCATTGAACTATGATGACCTATGATCAATATGGCAGCTCTTGCAGCCTTGTTTCGTGCAGAAAATAGTTCAAAATGCAATTTAAAGTAATGATCCAATCTGCCAAGATTCTCCTTGCTACTCGGAATTTGCTAATAATTAATATCCAATTTTGTAATTCAAACTTTAAATCTCTGACTGTATTCAACAATATAGTTCCAAATATTTTTGTACTTCTGCATATCTAACATCACTAGTCTAAGTCAATTAAAGTACTGAAGTCACAGCAGTCAACATGATCACAAGAAGTTATATACGAGTTTGTCTGTGTAAATAAACAGTTGATTGTGTGGCTAATGCCATGACAAATACTAATAACAGGATTTGAACTGAAAATATATATTTCTTGATAAGAATAACAGGATCTGTTACTAGAAAGTGTTGCAAATTAAGTATATTTCCCATTTTCAGACATTTTTTGCAGATCACTTTTCACAAAATGGAGATAAACACAATGGTACTGATTGTTGTCAATAACAACAGGGGATGTGGGAGTAATAAAGACTTCAAGACATTTCTAAGACCTCTTGATAAAAACCTTTGATTTTTCAGTATTTCCACTACTGGCAAATTTGTTTAAAAATTGCACAATTGAAATTTGAGATGAGTATTCTACAAGTTTCAAAGTTTCTATAAAAAAAATCTTACTTTTCATATGTGGTATTTGTTTAAATTCTCAAACTTGATATATGAAAAATTTCTTTGTGAAATGCTTTTTTTAATAAACAAAAATGCTTACTCTTATTGTAGATTTCAACTACTTCTTTTAATGTCTATCTAGATTCTTGTAAATGCTTTCCAGTAGATTTTATTTTATAAGATTATAATTTTTTTGCTGTTTACATTCTTAAAACACCTCCTACAGTTTCACTATTTTTAAGATCACTGACACATCAAACATATCAAAATTAAATAAAAACTGTCCTTATTAATTATTATTCAAGTTTCATTTACAACTGTAATACATTTAAGTTATAAACTGCTTGTACAAGAGAAAAAAGACAACCAGGTTCTGAATAACTGAACACTGAAAAAAGTTAAGGGAAGGTAATTGAAGAAAACATCCAATTACTCACCCAAACAGCCCAAGTTTTGGGAAGAAAAGAACTGCCAGAGAATGATATTAACTTGTCCCTATGGTGAATAGTGTGTGAGGCATCTAAGGTAAAAATGTCAAGTGGCATCTCCCATAAGCAAGAAAAAAATATCTTAAAGAGAAAGATGATACAGGAAATAGGTGGTCAACTGTTTGAAAAGTAGACATGTAAGAACCCAGAGGACTAAGAGACTCCACTCCAAAAGAGAAACTGAAAAGGCTTAGAAGAGATCCATAAGAAGAGGAGAAGGAATACAGAATGGCCAAAGAAAGAGATGAAAAATCAGTGACCAAGCAGCTGTGCAACCAATAACAGCAGAAGTGTGAAGTCAAAAGAGTAGTCTAAGGAATGCACACTCTGTGGAAAATAACTAGACCCGACTGAAAGCTTACAGGATTGTAGCCAGCTGGAAGGGAAGGGCTTTGAATTGAATATTCAAATATTGTGGACAAATTGAAGGAAACAACAAGCAGGAAGACACATCACAAGCAGGATGTGAAGGAAAGCACATATATCATTCTTGGCCATTGGTATACTGGGAGAAAACCATCCATCTGGAATCAAGTGAAAACCCAAGTTGTTTGAAGTGTAACAGACCTATGACTAGTCACCATTCTTTCATATTCTGGGTAATGACAACAAGATAAGAGTAAAACCACAGAATGAGGTGAAGGAAACCATCCAAAGCATTCATAGTCTGAGAGGAGGTTGAGAGCAGAAGTACAGAGAAAACACCTATGTGAAAGCCAAATATTTTGCAGCCAAAGAAATCCTTATGTGTACAGATTTGGAATGCTAAAAAGTAGTTCTAGAAACTAGCTGCCTGATACGGCTTCCAATCAAAAAATTTAAAAGAAATCAAAGTAAGCAGAGAACACTGCTGTTGAGCTGCCTCAGCTCAAGATCCCAAAGTGTAAGAAACACCCTCAAAAACCTCATCAGGAAATAAGGGTTCAACACATAGGTCCCTCAGATAACTCAGTTACGATTGAGAGAGTCAAATTTCAGAAAGGAAGACATTTCAAAGATGTAAACTCCAGTAACATTAAGAAAGCACATTAACTGGGACACAACAGAAGAAGAAAATTGAGGTCAAGATGAAAAACAGGTATATGCGAGATCCCCCAATAAAGCTTTCAGGATTGCAATGTAAAGCCTCTAAGAGAAAGTGAAGTGTGAACAGATAGCACAGAAGTTAAATAAGTAAGAGACAAAGACAAGTAGAATGGTGAGAGAAATAGAGGAGACTCCCAAGCTGAAAGAAGAGGTTCAAGTGATTGTGGCTCAAGCCACAAAGCAGCCTGAGATTCACAAATACTGAAGAAAAAGAAAAGTGACACATACCTTTACATCACAATCAAAGCAGGAAGAATGAAGATGGAATTGCCTGATCCTTGTCTGGGATAAGGAACCAGAAATAGAACTAGGTGGTAGAAACAGTTAGTCAAATGTGTCTAAAATATAGGGCAAGCTAAGCTGAAGTAACAGAAAGAAATTTAGCTGGTGCACAATGGCAGTAACTTCACCAACTAGTGCCTCCACTTGCCATTGTAATAGTGGACAACTCCATCTAAAAAGTGTCAGGACCACAGAAGATATCAAAAACGTTGATACATGAATTAACCATCTAGAACTGTGGAAGAAACAGAAGAGTTGAAGACGACTATAACCTCATAAAACAATTACTTTGTTCTCAAAGCTTTTTTCACTCTCACGTTTACTCACTCCTTACAAGCATCTTTTCATTTATAAAAAAAGTATTAAAAAGGTAAAGAAAATGTTGATTTTACAGTTATCATTTCTAAAAATGATTTTATCATGAAAGGGGCAATGAAAACTATGCTGAGTTAGGGAAGTGCTGCAATATAAAGTTTGGAAAACACTGATCTAGATGATGCATAAAATAATTAGTTTTAATGTTGAAGTTTACATGGAATGTCCACAATATGGCCTTGGTCATTCTCATAATAGTAATATTGGAAAGATATTAACAAAATCCTTTTGCTAGATTAATCTCATAATTTTTAATACACTTGGTGTATTTTTACTAAAGTTTTATGAAGTTAAGATTCACCGTAAAGTATGAACATTTCAACTTCTGATTATATCTATATAAACTGGAAGAAAGGTCAAAAACCCTCCTAACTCCACTATCTAAAAACACAATACCAAAATAGAACATTTGATTTCTCTATTGAACTTTAAAATTCTCTAAACAACTAAGCATGAAACTGAACTTCTGACAGAAGAGATGTTGAACATAAAAACTTTTCTTCCATCTCTGAATAATACACATTTTTCATCTGACTTAAATCTATTTTAATATGATTCATTTTATTTGAGCTACGTTCTCTTCATTTTCTCCTGTTCTTTTGTTTGTATTCAAATTGTTTTCTATTGTTTATCACACATTATATCCCATTTCTAGCGTAATTACCATTATGAAGATGCAATTCTGAAACATCTAACAAATGCTTTATGTTATTACAATCATGTTTTTCTTTATTATTTGTCATTACTCAAGAGAATTTTTTAAATCTCTCTATGCAATTGAGCTAGTTAATTTATTCTTAAATATGCTCCAGGCAAGAAATTAATTCAATAAAAGTGTGTGTGTGTATGATAAACATAATTTGCCATGCTTGTTTCAATATAGTAGATAATGGGCATAGTTGGTAAAGCTATTAAAGAAGCAGGAAGAGCACAACCTAAGCTAAGTTTTTTAGCTGTGTAACTGTGGTGAATTAATTATTTAAATAGTCTTCAAACTTTTTTATTATTATTATTATTATCAAGCTCCAATTTGAACATTAGTCCTATGGCCTCTAACTTTGAAGCATTTGACATCTGGAAGGGGGCAAAATTGCAACATTACAATAAAGAAAATAAAGTTAATTTTTTTAAATACTTTGTTCTGAGTTGAAATTTATTCAATAATGATTTATATATTTAATGTAAGACATTATTTTTAAATTGGAAGTTTTGATTTTGGGTTGATTTCATCTTGCTCTGAAAAAAACATTAGTATTTCCAAATTTCCTAAAACCTTTCAGAGCAAGATACTGTGCTTATAGTCCCCTAAAAGGAAAGCTGAAAAAGTTTTGAACCAAATAGTATTAATTTGATTGTAACATCAATACAAACATAGTTTTATCAATTTTTGCAAATCACTGTTCACCAACTCTGTTGTATTAGTGTTTTGTAAATTATTTATATATCAGCCTTATGAAGTCTTAGGCTAGTGATTATATCATGTTAAGAAAGCTTTTTTCCCAGTTCTTTTCAACTGTATAAGCCAATATGGCTTCAGCAGCGGAGACTCATGGGATGGGAGAAGAAAGTTCCGGCTGCATAAGGGAACTCACAATCCTATGCACAACAGCTGTCACCTCATCCACATTCAACAAGCCTCCCGTGGACATAGTTGAAACTTGACTTAAGAGAAAATTCTTCACTCACGTAAGAAGTAGAATATGTTACATGAACTTGCGAGTTCATAGTTTGAAGCAAGAAAATTATATTATGTTCCTTAAACTACTCAAATCTCAGTAAATTGAAAAAACAAAAGACATCTGATACCTTCAGTGCTGAAGAAAAAAATGAAGATTCATGAGTGCAAATGCATAGAGGGATTTAGTGCTGCTTAATAACATCATTATGCAGCAGTGCAATTCAGGAGAAATCTTGTGAGACTGGGTGGGAGTTGCCTAAAGGTAAGTGGCATGCAAATCTCTACAGCAGATGCACGAGGAAAATAGCTTAACTATGTGTGGTATCATATCAGGAGACAAAGCTCCCTTACTATGAAGCAGTTGAAAATAATTATGTATCTGTTAGAATCCTCAAGTTGACCTGAAAGTTCTTTTTAAACCTAATATCGGACTTTAAAATTTTCCCACTTCAAAGATTATATACTCAGTGCCCATTTTTCACATCTCATCTATTTATACACATGTGGGGACTATAACAACTCTTATATTGGTGAAACTAAATGTCATTTTAAAATAAGAACATTTGAAAATATTTGGGTATATCTATAACATAAAAAAAAAAAAATCAGAGAAAAGCTACAAACCCTCCCAACTGTTATCTACCAACACAATACAGAAATAGGGCATTGAATTTCTCTCTTGAACTAAAATCTCAGCTATGCATGAAACAGCTTCTGATAAAACAGAAGATGTACAGAAAAATTCTTGTCTCTAATTAATTCACATTCTTCATTTGATTTAGATCTATTTTAATATGACTTACTTGAGTTACACAGTGTTAATTTTCTCCTGTTCTTTTTTGTATTCAAATTGTTTTCTGTTGTTAACTACAAATTATATTGCATTTGTAGTGTAATTACCATAACGTATTTTTGTACCTCAGCTTCCTGAAGATTCTGAAGCATCTTATAAATGATTCATAAAATTATGTTTGTGTTCTTCTTCATTATTCAGTTACATTTTCTGAAAAATGAATTGATAACTAGTATACTTCTATATTCATAAATGTAGCAAATACACTTATGATGAAAGTAATGAGTCAAGAAACCACAGTCATACTTACCAAAGGTAAATGTTCTGTAGGTTGCTTGTACAATTTATCTCCTAGATTTTCATCAAAACTTGCCACATCTTCTAACAACACTTCCAACCAATACTGACCAACAATATACTGTCTCTTCAACTGGTCCCTGTTAAATGTTAAATCATAAATTAATAGCAACAGAATGTTTTTTAACTGTGTAACTGTGGTGAATTAATTATTTAAATAGTCTTCCAACTTTTTTATTATTATTATTATTATCAAGCTCCAATTTGAACATTAGTCCTATGGCCTCTAACTGAATTGAAATTGCTTTGATGTTCCAGTAGTTATACACAGTGCTGAAAACAATTTATTCACAGTTTCAATCTAGAAGTCTAATACTTTACATTCTACTGTCAATGATTTGGTGCAGAAAATTGGTGTTTAAAATTTGAAACAAAGTTCTCACCACTGTATCAGTTACTATTTTCAGCAACTTATATACCCAAAGCAATGTTGTTGACAACTAGCACAGTACTAGTGAGAAGTTAACACTATGAATCAGTATTCAAATGAATTTATGGAAAACTGTAAAAGTAAATATAACTAAAAATGACCTGATGTCATAGAAATTATTAGCTTAAATTTTGGATTCAGGTGTAATCTATTCATTTGAAGTTATGCTTTTACATTTAAGGGCAATACTATACTTTTAAATATTAGGATGAATAACACACGTTTATACTACCTTTTTAAAACAGTATCAATAGTTTTTAAGGAAGTATACAGAGAACTGTTGATTCAAAGTTCCTTCAGTTCTTCATTTTAGGAAACAAACAAAATACTGAGTATTTAATTACTTCTCACAAAAATATTAACACTTGCAGTTTAATACCTGAACTCATGTTCAGCTCTGGTTTAAGCGAGGATATTTAATTGTAATGAACCTATTCTATTGAGCAACAGATTTTAGCCATTGGCTTGTGCAGATGAGGAACTACTTGAGGAAAGAAAAACAAAAGAGTCAGAGAAGGATGTGGATGATAAGAGATTTATACTTATAGGTGATTTCTTTACAAGACAGGATACTCTGTGTGGTAAACAGGGAGTAAAGAATTAGATTATGCTTCCAGTAACACAGGTGGAGGACATAACTGACAGAGCAAGAGATATAATGAAGGGTGCTAGCAATGATGCAGGTTTTGTTGTGCACGTAAGGCTAATGATCTGGGGAAAAGTAGGTCAGAGGAGCTAATTAATAAGTACAAGGGGTTGATAAAGGTATTAAAAAAAAGGCCATATATAATGAACTGATCTCACACACACACACACACACACAAATGCATGTGTGTGTGAGATCAGTTCATTGGGAGATGGAAACCTTTTGGAATGGATGATTTACATTTAAATAAGGTAGGGGCTGACTTGTTTGCTAAGGCTATTAAACTCAGCTGAAAGGGAAGTTTTAAACTAGGACTAGACAGTGGTGAGGGCCAGGATGGATAAACTAAATGCAAAAAGAATAAAAGACAGAGAAAAGTTTAGCATAGGAAATGAGTATAGCAGTAGTTATAAGGGTAGGCTTAATTGTTACTATTGTAATGTTAGACATATAAGAAATAAAATAATGATTTTAGAGCACTGTTGGGAATGGAGGAGTTTGATAATAGGAACTATTGAAACATGGTTAAACGTGGATGATTTTGATAACAGAAACTTCTTTGAAATACAGGGTTACAGGCTATTTAATAGGGATAGAGTATTAAAGAAGGGAGGAGGAGTGGCGTTATATGTAAAATGCGAGTTAAGGGTACCAAAGATAATGGCAAAAAGACTGAATCCATTTGGATTTCTATTAGTAAATATAAAGAGAAAATGTTTTTATAACTAAAATTATTAGAAATGTAAAGTTGTGAGTAAAAAACAATGAAAGTAATATAAAAATATTGGTAGTAGTAATAGAGCAAAAGTGGCCATAGTTTGAGCTATGACTGACTCCTGAATTTAAATTATTTTGTCTATAATTTCAGGGTTCTACATTAAGGCACATCCAATAGACTCAGTCTAGTTGAAGTTGGGTTCACTTGTGCAGAATCTGTGCCAAGGTAGCCCAACTGGTCGTGTTAAATTTATTATGATATGACAATGGTCTTCCTGCTAACAATTTCCTATTATTTATAATTTCACACAAAAAAAAACTCCCACCCCTACAGGTTGTCTGCACCAGTATAAGATGTAATATCATTATGCTGATACCCTTCACAAATAGAAGGGCAACAGCCTCCATGCACAATAGGCCCCCATCAGACCTACCTCTGTCCAATCACATCACTATCTCCTCAGCAGACTTACCACTTAGAAGTGGTTATTTCCTGCACTTATTATACATTATTAGTTTTTGGTCTTCGTGGTTAGGCCACTCTAAAGATTAAACTTCAACTTAGTTCCAACCACCTTACAAATTTTACTTCACAATGTTATTTTTCAATTCAATATTAAATATTGAAATAAATAGAAAACTAATTAAGTTTGTTCTAAGCTCTTTTGAAGATTATGAAAAAAGTACTCCATTATAGGAACTCAATCATTTTATGACTGTTTACATCTTGACACAAAGTGAAAGTACGAATGTCTTTATTTAGATTCAGTTTTACTTCTTCGGTGGGTGAGGAAAAGGGAGGAGATGAGAGAAAAAACACAAATAGGAAGGGATGAAACAAAAAAAAATTACAAAAAAGGAAAAAAAGAAAAGAATGTTCTATCCTAAGTGAAAGAATGAATTTAAATGGGAATGCATGAAAAAAAGAAATCAAGAACAGTGTTTTGTTCATACACTGGAGTAGTGGAGACAGGAATGAATGTAGATGCTTGTGCTAGTACAAGGGGACCAGCTATCAGAAGGATAATTGAAGGTCAGAAAGCACAACTGCTCACTTGTTTCACACTGCTTACTTCATTGCTAAGAGTAAATTGCCCTTTACTTTGTACCCAAGCCATCTTGATTTACGAACTAAAAATGGTGTTGAACTGCCAAATAACTATAGAACTGATTAGGCTTGTGGAAGATTTATGCAGTTAGTATATGAAGATATCCGACAAGAAATATACACTTTACTGAAGAATGCACAGGAGTTATCCATAATGTTTGATGGTATGACAGATGTGTCCATTTGTGAACATGAAATTGTGTATGCTCGGGATGTGGTGGAAGGTGTGCCAAAAATTATCTTTGTAAAGATAAAAAACATGGAGTATGCTTGTGCTGAAGTATTTTGGCAAAAATAGAGTCTGCAATGGACAGTATAGACAATGCAAGATAGAAATGAAAGGAAAAACTAATTGCTTCTAGTCCAAATGGAGCAAATGTGAACTTAGGGAAAAAGCACAGTGTGGTAAAACTCTTAAAAATGAAGTGCCTCATCTTGTTGCAATGCATTTTGTAAGTCACAGATTGGAACTTGGTACATCAGATACAATGAAGGATAAAGATGCAAAGATCTTTGGTGATCTTAAAAATATTTTGTTGAATTTGCACAAACACTATCATTACAGTGCAAAAACACTGAGAGAGCATCAAATGTTAGCTGAAGCTATGAAGGAGATGATGATAAAGCCAGTAAATTTTGAAGGTACCAGATGGATGCCACATCTGAGTCAATATCTTGATGTCCTCTTATGGCATTATTTGGTGTTTATTGCTCACTTTGAGAACACTGTAGAGAGTATGAGTGGGACAGTGGATGTTCAAAGCAGAGCCAAGCTGATTCTTAAACATCTGAAATACATGCACTTTCTAAAGGATGTATTACGTAGCTTGAGCAAACTTTCATCACAGTTTCAAAAGAATAGCTGTGGTTTACCTGTGGAAGCCCTTGAAACATCTTGCCTGCAGCTTGTTGCTCTGCAGCAAAGATCAAGAAAGAACCTGTAGATGTTCCTAGACAGTGTAGATTAGCATTGAGCCAGGATCAGGGAATGTGTCATCCAGTATCTCAGGGAAGTCCATTGCACACAATCAACTTCCGCAACCATGAGACTTGTCCGAAACATCCAAAGGTCAATAACATCCCTGTTGCAAGATAGAAAAAGGGAGTGCCGAGGACAGAAACATCCAACGTATACCCTCCATGGCCCACTACACAGAAAGAAAAATTGAGGAAGATGGACAACCCCAAATCTGTGTGAGGATTTACGTTGACTGTTCACTCGATATATATCCAAAACCATTCGGCAGTGTATCAACATCCGCAAGAGGGTAGAATGAGGGTACCCAATCAAAGGGGTGAATTGCATTTAGATGTTTCACTCCATGGTATGTGACACTCAATCTGGATAACTGTATGCCTTCTACTCCGGCAAAACACCACCTCCTACTCTGAACTGAATGGTGCCTCCATGGTCAACCACCCCAGCAAGTTGCAAGTGGGAAGAACTCTCATATTCCACTGACAGAAAGGGGGGGGTACATTCGAGAGTCTGGAGGAATGGCTACACCACAGACACCCTATTTTGAAAAGCAGACTATACCTACTTATTCAATCGAGGCATGGCAGGGAAGGGCAGATATCACCGTCTGCTTTACCCATGCCTTCCATAGGTGGTACAGTCTGGGACGGGCCTATTTATGAAGCAAGTATCACAAGATTATTGACCATCCAGTGATCTTATGAAACACCCCATCTCGAAGGCGAGCATGCAAATCAACATGGCATACAGTGCGAAATTTTTGGGTATGTAAAGAATACCTGGTCAGACATCACTCGCCAGTATTCAAGAGACAAAATTTGAAGCAAGGGCTCTTGAAAGAAAAGAAAGCATTGATAAAGACTGACCTAGTGTCATAGCCATACTGAAGTCTGAAGTATAGCCACAAGTGGTAGGCAAAACCCCGAGAAAGCACAAACTGTGATGCGATACAAGTAATAGGAGATGAACATCTGAGGGGTGGTCCACATACCTGACTGCATAATCTCCTCCAAAGGCCAACGAAGACAAGGAGCAAAGAAAAAAGTGAGGTGCCAGATTTGATGGGAGGTAACACAGAACAAAGCATTGAGAAAGGGAGAAAGAGGAATAAGCCAACTGGATTAAAATGTTAAAACATATGTAGGGCCTTTGAGAGATGATACAGAAAGGCTAGAATCTAATGGTTATGGGTGACTGGGCTAACAAGTTCTATCTTTTCTTCAGGTTTTACAAAGGAATATGTAACCAATATTCCTAATCCTGAAGTTTCTACGCGGAAGCATGACTGTCAAGAAGGTTGGTCTTTGAAATTGGTTGCTTTCAGATATGGTCGATGCAGTTAATTTAGTGACTTAAGGGAAAGCTTGATAAATATCTGAATGACAAAGATCAGCTTTGATTTTTTTCTTTTTTTAATTCAGTTAATAGGATTGCTTAAATGGATCAAAAGGCCTCTTGTTGTTCTTTTATGTTATGTTTCATTAAACACTTGTTTGAAAAAAGCAATAATAACTGAAGTTGACTCCTACAAAGACTACTCCTACTTTCACACCATAAACACCTGAATCAGATCCCTCCTAACTTATTTTTTCAAGACAAAATGATTTCAGAAATCTTAACCTTATCCTAGTATGAACTTTCTATGTCAGGTATCATACTAATAGCCCTCCTCTGAATCCTTTCCAACAAATTACTGTCCAGGTCATTCAGTAATACATTTTCAATACAGCTATAGTATAAATGCTACTTAGTTTAATGTCATCAGATAACTTTATTAAATCCGCCATTATTAACATCACGTAAATGGGAAAAAGCAAAGGTTCAAGCATGGACTCCTAATGCATTTTTAATAATAATTTTCTTTTTCCCATCCCAACCCTCCTAAAATATAATTAATTAAATTTCTCTAAAGGCTAAAGTGCTAAACCCTACTGATATGATTTTCTTGTCTAAGTCTTATGTGTGGCACCTTATCAAAGGCTTTTTTGCAAACATAACTTCTATCTCTATGTAGGTAAATCCAACCTGGCTTCCTTTTATTTTTAAGATATTTATAATAAATTTCTAACTTCTATTCAATTTCATTTGTAAAGTCATGGCAACTTCGTTTCACCAACGCTAATGCCTAGTAACGATAACCAGCCAAAGGTTTGTTTCATCAACAGTTACCGAGTTAATTTCCCGACTATGTTCCTATTAGCATTAATGTCACATATTAATAATTATTTTTAACGTAGATAGGGTATTACCTTATGCTGTTTTCATAGCCGATAATAGTAGTACTATTCTAGTACTTCATCTCGGACAACTTGAGTTGAATCTATTTAGTATTAGAAGTTAATACTTTTATAGTAATGATAAAGTTTATTTGAATATTACTTTAACTTACCTATATCGATAAGAGAAATTTCCTTCATGAAATTGTCTAATAAAATTTTTAAATCGTCGCTTTATTTCTTGTAAATTTAACGATTCGACCTCAGACTGGTTTTCCGATCCAAAATTATCGCTATAAAATACACCTAGGTCATCAAATCCTGCCATTTTTCTTACTACAAATAGCAATTAGAATAACTCGTTGAACAAAACAGCTTTCGGTACAATAGTCCACACGAAACAGAAACCGTATGAAGAACTTTGGCGGGAACAAAATCCCGCTCTTCGTTTGATTAATCTGATTATTGACGTCACATCAAGAACGTGCGAAAGGCAGCATATATACATTCTCAAATTATAGGGTGTTTTCGTTTAATATTTTAACAAAGTTAAACAGTAAAACTAAGAATTAGTGGATATTTATTCCTTTATTAAAATTGATATTAGTACCGATCAAAGTCGGTTTTATCAATTACTTACTTCAGAATGTTTAAACTAGAAAAAACTAACTGTTCAATTAATAACCCCATACATTTGTTTGTTTGTAGTTAGTACAAAGCTACACAATGGCCTATCTGTGCTGTACCCATTACGGGTATCGAAACCCGGTTTTCAGCGTTGTAAGCCTTAAGACTTTCCGCTTTATAATTGCGTTACAATATCGCTAAGTTTTATATATTTTTATATATAAGAAAATATATGAAAGAAAAATATATAAAACTTCACGATTTTGAAGTCTATTCATTAATTTCTAATGAAAACTAAAGTACAAAAACAAGATAAATAAAAAATGTGAATTTAAAAACCTGCAAATAGGGATCGTAAAAAAATGAGTAAATAAGGCTAGAAATACTGTAAACGTTATTTACTCAAACTACAAACCCCTATTTTGGCTCCATGCTGTTACCTAGGATTACATTTGGTGGAATCAAAATAGGAATTTGTAGTTTGAGTTAATAATGTCAACAGTATCTCCAGCCTTGTTTCCTTACTTTTCTTACGATCCCTATTTGCAGGTTTTTTTAATTCTCAATTTTTTTACTTATCTTGTTGATGTTTTTTTATGTTCATCTACGAGCAAAGGAGAACTTGATATTGTTACGTTTCCGTTTGTTAATTGATTTTTCCGTAACTTCGTTCCGACGAAATGTTAACGACACAAGTCTTTACTTAATAAAACTGGTTTATTCTTTCCGAATATAACTTTGCGATATACTTAATCTCAATACTCGCGCTAAAACAAACAGTATCACGAGCGAACGAACGTTAACTTCAACGATACCCTGTGACTGCAGTTCAATTACTCACTCTTCACACACACATTACATTCCCCTCTTTTATATACCAGCCTACCCTATCTAGCAATTACTAGACCATTCGCCAAGATACGGGAAAGTTCTAAAAACAAGAGAGCGTGAGAATTGTCACGTGATCTCGATGACGCAACACTGCCCCCTCCTTAATATTGTTCGTCCCGAACAATAACCACATACAATAAACCAATAACAATAACTTAATTAACTGTACAGAATTACAAAGACAAAATTACAATTCAACAAAGTCTCTTAATTTTACGGGACGTATCTTCTTCCGTACTGGTCTCCTCGTCTTGTTGGCTTCTGCTTCATGTGGAGTTCATCAGTAAATGTCCAATCATCGGTAACAGTCACATCAGTGGTAGTAACTTCATCAAGAGCTTCACCCTTTCCCTTCTCCAAACAGAGTAGAGTTTCTTCTTCGACGGTGGCTTCTTCAGGTGGCACGTTTTCAGCA